TTCTCCTCCTGCTTTTTATTTTTTTTGTCTAATTGATGCTCCAAATGGGTGTTTCTAATACCTTGTCTTCTAATTCATGATTTGGCTTCTCCACTTCTACTGTTGATTCCTTCCAAGGTATTTTTATTTCAGCCATGTCATTCTTCATTTCTGCTTGGTTCCTATTGATGTTTTCTACCATTTTTATTTTGCTGCTGTAGTTCTTATTAAATTCCATAGTGTTCCAATAAGATGGTTGTAGTTCTCACTGAGTTATTTGAGCACCCTTATTACCATTACTCTGAATGCTTTATCTGACAAAGTGCTTGCCTCCATTTCATTTAGTTTTTTGGGGCCATTTCTCCTTTTTCTTCATTTAGGGGTTGTTTCTTTGTCTCCCAATTTTTGTGTCCCTTTGTATTTATTTCTATATATTAGATCAAACTGCTGTGCCTCCCAGGCTTTGTGGGGTGGTTTTATAAAGTAGGTGTTTTGTGGGACACAGTGGTGCAGTCTCTTAGATCTTCTGAGCTGGGTGCTCTAGAAATGACTTTGAGTTATTTCGTTTCTCTTGCAGTTGGGTCTTGAATGTTGTTTTCCTCTGCATTGATGGAATATCCTCTCAGGTTGGCTGACTTTGTGGCTCACCTGTCACCACTGTTGTGGAGGTGCTAACAGAGCAAAACAAAAATATAACACAACAAAAGAAGAAACCAAACAAAAACATACAAAATACCCCTACAACAACACCTAAAGCCACCCCTTGAGAAGAGAAAATTAGGAGATAGAGAGTCTTAATGGTAGAAGAAAATAAAAAAAGAAAAACTATGAGAAGAAAAAACTACAAGAAGCAAAAAAAACAACCCCACAAACAACAAAAATAGGCAGGGAGGAGAAAAAGGAATATTAAGGGGCAGAGATGAAATAAAGAAAATAAGAATAAAGAATAGGGGAAGGAAATTATTTAAAATTAAAGAGGATGAAAAAAAATTGAAAAGGAAAATTTGGGGTCTAAAGCATATAGACCCAAAATAAGAAAAGGAAAAAAAGATGAGATAGCAGGAGAAAAAGAAAAAAAAATATTGAGTAGGAAAAGAGAAGACTAAAATAGGATGGATACAATAGAGACTAAAATAATAGACAAACAATAAAACAGATAAAGAATATAAATAAAAAACAAAGAAAGGGAAGAGAATGAAAAAAAATGAAGTGGCATTTGTCTCAGCAGTGTTTAGTGCCTCCTTGGAGCTCCTGTTGGACTCTGCTCTTCTGATGACTGTGGCTGACTATTCTGTCTGCCAATTTTGGACTTCCTGGGAGGTACTTATCTGCCAACCATCATCAGAATCTGTCCTCCTTTGACTTTCAACAAACCTACTTGAAGCTCTGAGAGATCCACAGTTTCTAGGTTTTTTTATCAATATTTTTGAACAATATTTTTTCTTGAACATTAATTTATCGGCACTTGTCTCCACAGCACTTGTCTGCATGTGGGAGCAGTCAATCTGCCCTGTAAAGCAGGTTTTTTAGCAGCATGGGGCTCAGTGCTTGGTCAGTAAGCTGCCCCACATTCTCAGCGTTCCACCTCTGCCCTCCTTTACCTGCCAGTCAGCTGTCAATATTAATCACTGAAAAGTCTGTTTCTGAAAGCACTTTATGCAGAATTGGGGGTCTAGAACTCTGGGTCTCCTTTGAGGGGATGGTGCTGTTCATATGTCAGGGAAAGTGGTGGGTGTTTTTCCCTGTCCCAGAGCTACTCCTCTGGGAGAGACCAGAATATTGCTCTGCCCTCATCATGACAGAAATCCTATATGTAGTCCAGTAGGCTCAGCTGCAAACCTGGAGTTTCTGTTAGCTCTCCTGTGTGGGGAAGCAACTATTAGGTTCATAGGAAATTTGGGTGGATATCCCCACCCCCAATCCAGTCACTGATCCTTCCAGGGTGTGGCAGGCAGTGCTCCTAAGGGTCTGGCAGGCTATATCGCCTAAGGTGGGGTTTTTTTTCTCTTCCTGAGCTATGGCTTCTGGGAGCAGCTAGCTCCTCTCAGGAAAAATGGCTATTTCTGTTTCGGGGTATGACCAAATGCAGTGCTCCTGGCTGCTGCTCTTCCATGTCTCCCCACAATGCTTCCAACCCCAGTTTTTCCTTAGGCACCTTGATTTCCTACCATCATCCCTCCACTAATTCTCAGGTGAGTAGCTGTAAATCAAGCATGTCAAAATCAAAGGCTAACACGGACCAAACAAACAAGGTTTAAGTTTATGTGGGCCGAAAAAAAAAAACAAAAGCTTCAATTTTCATAGAAATATAGGTTTATTCCAATACAAACATGCTGAATACAAAGGGCTGAAATAAATGAGTCATCGTTAACATAAGATAATAGAACATTTAAATAAAAATTAATATTTTTTTCTTGAACATTAACTTACCAGACACTAAATAACTGCACAAATTAATAAGCATAACGCAAATAAACCTATTTTTCTTATCTGAAAGCAAAATATTTCCTGTTGTGCACACCAAACAAGTCAGTCCAAGACTAATGACGTGGCCATTGGCTGCTAAAATATTTGCTGCTAGTATTAGTGGAGAGAAATGCTGTGCCTGAACACAAGGTGCGTAAGGGAAATGAATGCAACACAATTATAATAATCAGTCATTAGCGAATGTTGTAGTTTGTTATTAATAATTATGTATAATAAGATATTATAAAAATTAAGTTATGAAATTTTTATTAAAACATTTTTTACATAGCGTGTTCGTTATTAATAATTATGTATAACAGGATATTGTAAAAATTAAGTTACGAAATTTTTATTAAAATGTTTCTTACATTCCGTTATATTGGCTGGGCCACAAAAATATTTGTTGTGGGCTGCGAGTTTGTATGCTTGCTGTAAATGAAACTCCTGTGCTCTAGCTTTTTAAAAAAAGCCAAAAAAATGAGGTCAGCCAGTGTGGCTCAGTGATTGAGTGTCGACCTGTGAACCAGAAGGTCATGGTTCAATTCCTGCTCAGGGCATATCCCCAGGTTTTAGGCTCGATCCCCAGTGTTGGGTATGCAGGAGGCAGCCGATCAATGATTCTCTCTCATCAGTGATGATGCTCTCTCTCTCCCTCTCCCTTCCTCTCTGAAGTAAAATACACACACACACACACACACACACACACACACACACACACACACACACTAGAGGACCGGTGCATGAAATTCGTGCATGGGTGTGTGTGTGTGTGTCCCTCAGCCTAGCCTGCACCCTCTCCAATCTGGGACCCTTCGAGGGATGTCTGACTGCCTGTTTTGGCCTGATCCCAATGGGACATCCCTCTCACAATCCAGGACTGCTGGCTCCCAACCACTCACCTGCCTGCCTGTCTGATTGCCCCTAACTGCTTCTGCCTGCCAGCCTGAACACCCCGTAACCACTCCCCTGCCAGCCTGATCGATGCCTAACTACTCCCCAGCTGGCCCAATTGCCCTTAACTGCCCTCCCCTGCCAGCCTGATTGCCCCTAACTGCCCTCCCTTGCCAGCCTGGTTGCCCCCAACTTCCCTCCCCTGCAGGCCTGGGTCCCCCCCAACTGTCTTCCCCTGCAGGCCTGGGTTTCCCCCAACTGTCCTCCCCTGCAGGCCTGATTACCCACAACTGCCCTCCCCTGCTGGCCATCTTTGACCACATGGGGGAGGCCATCTTGTGTGTTGGAGTGATGGTCAATTTGCATATTACCTCTTTATTATATAGGATATATATATTTAAAAAACAAAAAAACACAAATGAAATGTGGAGGCTTTCTTTCCTACCAGATTTGGTCTATCTGCTACAGATTCCTTGAGGGCCAGCAGCCCTGCCGCCTTTCATAGACATGGGCCACTGGTCTCAGCTCTGGTTCTCTGGTCTGTGGAGCCCAGCCTGAGTTCTGGGCCTCAATCTTCTGAAGGAACAGACCCTCCGATAGCCCAGAGCTCACTCCTCCCACTCGGTCTGCTGCCCATGGAAGCTGGGTCACCTCTTATGACCTCACCCTTCCTACCAGCCTCCAGATGTTTTATGCCCTTCCTTGATATAAGTCTTCTCCTCAGTTGGACCTGAGTTGGCAATTTCTGATGAATGTTCCCCACTTTAGTTTTATTTCCTGTCTGGCTCTGGAAAGAGGTGCAAGAAAAGTCTGCCTATTCAGCCACCATTTTCTTTTCAAATAACCAGCTCTTAGTTTCACTGATCTTTTGTATTGTTATTTTAGTCTCTATGTCATTTATTTCCACTGTAATGTATATAATTTCCTTTCTTCTACTCACTTTGGAATTTGTTTGTTCCTTTTCTGTTTCCTTTAAGTGTGTAGTTAAATAACTTATTTGAAATTTTTCTTGTGTCTGGAGGTAGGCCTGTAATGCTGTGAATTTCCCTCTTACTACTGCTTTCACCATGTCCCATAGATTTTGGGTTGTTGTGTTCCCATTTTCATTTGTCTCAAGGTATCTTTTGATTTCTTCCTTGATCTCATTGTTAACCCATTCATTGTTTAGTAATATGTTATTTAGCCTCCATGTCTTCGTGTGTTTTTCACTCTTTTTGTGATTGATTACTTATTTAATACTGAGATGGTCAGAGAAGATGCTTGATATGATTTCAGTCTTCTAAAATTTGAGACTTGTTTTGTGGTCTCTCCTAGAAAATGTTCTATTTGTACTTGAAAAGAATATATATTTTGCTGCTTTGGGGTGAAATGCTATGAAGATATCAGTTAAATCCATGTGATCTAGTGTGTCATTTAAGGCCCCTGTTTTCTTGTTGATTTTCTGTCTGGAAGACCTATCCATTGATGTCAATCAGGTGTTAAAACCCACTACTATGACTCTATTACTCTTGGTCTCCCCCTTATGTTCATCTAGATTTGCTTTATATATTTAGATGCTCCTATGTTGGTTGCATAAATGTTTACAAGGATTATAGCAAAGGATGTATTTTCGATTAAGTATATGGCTGAACCAGTGTATATACTTCTGACCTTTTTTTTCCCTGCATTCCAAGGGTCGTTATGGCTGCTGTCGCTTTCTACGAGATGGATATAAAACTCCTAAAGAGGTAGGTTCCTTCTCTCAAAAATGATTCCAAGGCTATCTATAGCCTTATTCAGAGTAAACAGTTACTTCACTTGTGGTACTTAAAATAATCACTAAATAGGATAATAATAACTGATATTTGCTACTTTTGTTGGATTTAGTAGCTAACTTCTGTTTGTCACCCTTCCTGGATTAAATAAAATAGAGGAAGTATAGTCCTTTCACCTTTTGCATTTGGTTACTTTCACATTGTATGCTTAAATCAGTGAATGAAAGTTTAGGCAGAGTATTTGCATAGCCTCAAAGTATTTTTCCTCCCAAATATTTAATAATGTTATAGGAAAAAAATCTTTCCATCATTAGATCCCCCTTCCACCTTTTGCTGTTGGTTAGTTGTAAACAGTTTTTGATCTTGAAAAATTAATTTCCATTTGTTACAGTTGTCAAAATTCTTCTTGGAAATATCAATGGAAAAATTAAGTATTATCGAAGGGAATGAATGATCAATAAGAAGCATTTTCATTGGCAATGTAAACATCATTTAAGGCTTAGATTTGCTGGTCAAGAGTCATTATAATACATTTTTTTAAATCATTGAGCTCAAACTCTTCTGGTCTACTTCCTCTCTTTAACTTTATTCTTTAGCCTTATTGACTTCCTCCCCTACCAATCTACTAAAATTATGCTCTCAAACATCATCATAATCTTCTAAATGACCCATCCAACTGGCTTTCCACAATCCTTATTCTGCTTGACTTCTTTGTAGCACATCACTGTTACTTATCCCTGTTTTCTTGAAATTCTTTTCTTATTTTAATTTCCACAAAACTACATTGTCCTAATTCTTTTCCTCTTTCTCTCCTTCACTCACCAAGCTGAGAGTTTTACAAGATTCCATTCTTGGGCCATTCCTTAATTATATATAGTTATTACATCTACAATTGGTGCTTCATGTATCACTTATAATGGTGATTCCCAAACCCTCATCTCTTGCTGTCTGCTAAATATTTCTGTCCACATTTTCTCCTGCTACCTAAAACTTAAAAAATATAAAATCAAGCTCAAGTTTATTACAGATCAATCTCACTTCTTCATACGCCTGCCTATAATGTCATTATTATTCCTGTTCTAGTAGTTAGAAGTCACGTCACAAAGTACCTGCTAAGGCAGAGGGGTATGTACATGCTCTGCCTTCTCTGAAACTATCAATAGTGAAAGGCTATGTTATATACCCCTGATCTAAATATGTATATCTAATCTTGGAGTGATAAGACAGACTGTGTTTATTATGCTTTTACCAGGATCCCAATCGTCTATACTATGAACCAGCCGAGCTGAAGTTATTTGAAAATATAGAGTGTGAATGGCCATTGTTCTGGACATACTTTATCCTCGATGGGGTCTTCACTGGCAATGCTGAACAGGTAATGAACTGGGGAAAGAGCTTTTTAGCAAAATGTTCTAATTATGTCTTCCTCTTTCAGCTAATGGCTGTGCCAACCCTGTGCCTAAATGAAAATCTTCCTTAATAGGAAGGAGATAGCATTGTCTCCTAGAGGCTAATAGTTGAGGGCACTAAGTTAGGATTTGGAAGACCTGGATATTGCCATCTCTAATACTTCGCTTTTAACAAATATGCAAAGCAAAACAGCAAGCCCTCTCTACTTACCACAGTCATTAGAGGTACAGAAATTTACTTCCTGACTTTGTATGTCTTTTAAAAAATAAATCTTAGATATTATGCTCTCATGTTAGACCATCCAAAAAATAAAACCCCCAACAATCCACTCATCCCTGTCCTCACCCCCGAAAACATGCTCATCATTGCTTTTTTGGCTACATGAATATAGTAGTTTAGAAACCATCATAGAAAATCAGTGAGATTTGGAATTAGTTAAGTAAATGTAGTGTCAGGTATTCTACAAATTGGCTATGGTCTAAAATTGGACATAAATCCAATGCATTTGGAAGTCATTTGTACATTGCTACTTAAAATACAATTTTGTGTAATTTGAATGATTTGGCTAATATTAATATGTAATTGCCAATATGAGTCTAAATAATAGGGTTTCACTAAAGTTACAGGGGCCACAAAGTGCTATTTTACTCAAAATTTCAGTAATTTATAAAGTAAATATTTTTGAGCAAGCAAATAAGACAAGGTATAATAAAAATAATCTGCCTGTTTTGATCACCCTGATTTGATTCTAGCATTTTCTCAGTCCTTCTCAAATTCTGTGAAATTGTTTATAAAAAATTTTTCTTGCTCAAAAAGAGATTATTTATCAAATATGCCTACTAAGTATAAAGCACATTCAGATTATTTGAACTTGGGATGGGGGAGGAGTTGGAATACCTGGAATTTTTTTTTTTTGCTTCACTATTGGCCATTGAGTAATCCAAGTGTTGTCATTGACTTCTTCAGTTTCTCTGTGCATACAATGAAAATAGTTTTTCTCTATTAATTGAAGAAGAAGATATCACTAAACTTCTTTGAATTTCACAGATAAAGACTTGTTGTACATGCAAAGTAGAAAAAGTTAAGTTATAATGAGACATATATGTTTCTTTAAAATTACCTTGCTCGGCATATTTGAGAAATAAAAACTATAGGGCTTGTGGGAAAATAGGATTGGGGCACAACACTTAAAAAGTTGGTCAGAAATATATATAAAATGATAGGGCCCTAATAAAAACTCTATTATAGCTGTATGCAAGTTAAATGGTTAATAAATACAATAGATGTGATACTTGTACCTTGAAAAATACCTGAAATTTGCTTTTAGATATGTGCACTCACATTCCCACCAGCCCACCCTGGCTCCACTGCCCACTACCTTGTGTACCAGAGGAAGAGAGCAAAAGACAGCTATCAAAAGAAAATCAACCCAAGCCATTATGCTCAATTAATATTTGACTAAGGAAGCAAAGCATACAATGGAGTCAAGACAATCTCTTCACTAAATGGTGTTGGAAAAATTGGACAGATACATGCCCAAAAAAATGAAACTAGGCCACCAACTTACACCATACACAAAAATAAACTCAAAATAGATAAAGGACTTAAACGTAAGACATGAAACCATAGAAATATTAGAAGAAACCATAGGCAGCAAAATCTCAGACATCTTCATAGCAATATGTTTACTGATACATCTCCTAGGACAATGGAAACTAAGGAATAAATAAACAAATGGGACTATATCAAAATAAAAAGCCTCTGCACAGCAAAAGAAACCACCAACAAAATAACAAGAAAGCCCACATTATGGGAGAACATATTTGCCAATGATACATCCAATAAGGGGTTAATTTCCAAAATTTATAGGGAAATCATACAACTAAACAAAAGGAAGATAATCCAATTAAAAAATGGGCAAAGGTGTGCTCGTGTTCAAAGACTTGGAGAAAGAGCTGATGCACAAATTAATACAAAAGACAAGAAATATAAATTTGGAAATTATGGGGGAAGCCAGTTGTGATCTTGGTACAAGGGACCAAGTTCCACTGAGTCTTCATTCCCATCTGCTTTTATTTACTAGAATACACAAGTGTCTTTTAGGAATACAAACAGACATATCAAAGGTGATGTTTGGTAAACAGTAAGATTATCAGGTTGGGGGAGTTTGCTTTAGGCCAGTGGTTCTCAACCTGTGGGTCGCGCCCCTTTGGGGGTTGAATGACCCTTTCACAGAGGTCGCCTAAGACCGTCAGAAAACACATATATAATTACATATTGTTTTTGTGATTCATCACTATGCTTTAATTATGTTCAATTTGTAACAATGAAAATACATCCTGCATATCAGATATTTACATTACGATTCATAACAGTAGCAAAATTACAGTTATGAAGTAGCAACGAAAATAATTTTATGGTTGGGGGTCACCACAACATGAGGAACTGTATTAAAATGTCACGGCATTAGGAAGGTTGAGAACCACTGCTCTAGAATATAAATTGGGAAGGGTTGGGCTTTTCATCTTTTAAAAAAATTCTCACCACGTAAAACTGGCAGGTTCCAGATGGTCAGTTAATATTTGTTGAGTGAATGAATGATTCCTGGCATAAAGTGTAAGTCCTTAATATACATTGATTAAACTGAATTAAATTGAAATGGAAAATATGAGCACAGACCCATTGTAATATAGATGGGAGAAAGGACACATATGTTGCTATATGCAGAGTCCTCCTTAAATTACATGATTTCTTGGATAATATTGCAATGTTCATGTGATGTTATGTGTTAATATATATTATATTATTTATACATATATTGGTGAATAAAAATAGAAGCACTAAATATTTTAAAATTTTATTTAAATGAGTTCAAATCAAAACTTGAGAATCTACATTTACACACATTACAGTAAGGTAAGGGCACAGCAAAGTTAAAGTGAACGCAGGTTGTATAGATAGCTCAATTCCTATGACATAAAACTTAAATCCAAAGATGAAAATCTTGAAGCTCTCTACTGCAGTGTCATAGTCTGACCTCAGAGACTAGAAAACTTCAGTCACGTGTAATCTCAAATGTCTCAACCCTGAAACCTATCAGCGGATACCAAACACCTTCAAGGCACATTAAAGTTTTCTAGAAAAGGCGCCTTTAAAAAAAACTAAAACTATGCATATATGCATGACCCATGGACACAGACAATAGTGTGGTGAAGGCCTGGGGTGGGAGGTGGGGGCAGGCTGGAGAGGTCAATGGGGGGAAAGGGGGACTTATGTAATACTTTCAACAATAAATTTTTTTTAAAAAACCAGAATATAGAACAGAGAGGAAGACTAGAAATATGCTGAGAATAAAGAGGGGGAATTAGAGAAGGGAAGGCACAGAGCCATTCAGCTAGTGGCCATGAGAAAAGAGCACCTCAGAAGTGGTGGACGGGAGGTTATCTGAAATCCGACAGAAAGTTGTAACCCTACCTGCAAGTGGTTGGATATGGTTGATTGTCCTCCTGTATAATCTTTCATGGCTCATTTTAGCTATATGTGTTCTCAGTTGAAATGGTGCATGAGTGTATGTGAAATTCATGTTATGCTCAAATTTTTCCCTAATATATCAAACACATTGGAACAAATTTGTGTTTTCTAAACAGCTGTTATAGCAGAACTAACTATATAATTTTTCCACCATAAATTATAGGTTTGTTTTTTTATGTATTACTAATCTATAGCAAATTGTTAAGCAAAAACATATAAACTTGACCATAAAAGAAACTTAATTTGGCAGGCAAAATATAGTTTTAAAAGCCAGTACATGTAATGTGACGAACTTATCCTTAGGGTAATACATAGTGGATGAAAATAGGCCTGTGGAGGCAGGCTGACTTGGGCTCAAATCTGAGCTCAACCTTGTACTCTTGTGTGATCTTCCATAAGTTCATAACCTGCTAGAGCCTTAGTTTCCCTGTAAAAAGTCTGTAATTATGCGTACTTCCTAGGATGGTTATGAAAATCAAATGTGTTAAAGCATGCAAAACCCCTAATATAGTATCTTGCCTATAATAAGCATGTAGTAGATGCTACTTCCCCCTTTTCTTCCTTTTACTAGGTGAATATGTTCCTTTTAAACAGGACTTTCTTTGGCATCAGTCTTCCTCTAGATCCCCAAAGGGAACCCTCTATAATTTTTTTCTCCCTTTCTTTATACCTATAGGTTCAAGAATATAGAGAGGCTCTTGAAGAAGTCCTCATCAAGGGCAAAAATGGAGTCCCACTTCTGCCCGAGCTATACAGTGTTCCCCTTGACAAGGTGAGCTAGACAGTGCTGTAACATGGGGCTGGGAGAAGAGGAGGAGTACTTCAATAGGTCTTCCCTGTTTGCGTCAAATAATTGTTACTTTCTTCTGATTTTCTAAAATTTTGTCTTTCAGTATAGGACGATAAAACTATATTTTGTTCCCTTGAAAATAAGATTTTAAAGCACTCACAGTTATGACATTGTTGTACAGCAAGACAAGGGTAAGACCAAACTTAACAGTGGTAGTTTCAAGGGTGTATACTTACCCTCAAATTTACCAAGATGCATTAAATATGTATAACCTTTTTGTATGTCAACCATAACTCAATTAAAAAAAATAAATTGTTTAGCGGTTGATTTTTTTTAAAAAGACCAAACCTTAAGCTTGAAAATGATAGGGACATCAGTAGGCAGAACCAGAGTGATGTTCTCTGTGAACTTTCAGGATTTGATATTCTTTGCTCTGAGGCCAGTAATTTGGGATTGTTTGAGTAGATCAGTTTTTGAAAATGAAGTAGGTCTCCATTTTCCCAAAATCCCAGTCAGAAATATTGCTGTTCTTCTTCTCCATTGCGAAAGAGTATTAACCATGGGAGAGATACAGTCTTCAGTTCTAGTAGGTATGGGTGGAATAAGCTCCCAGCAACATCAACAGCATTACCTGAGAGCTTGTTAGAAATGCAGATTTCAACCCTTCCCCCACACCTACTAAGTCAGAATCTGCCTTTGTACACTATCCTCAGGCAATCTATATCCACCATACAGTTAGAGGAACACTGTTTGACTTTTCAGTGCATTGCATGTGTGACTGTTTCATAGGGTATGAATCACAATCCAGATTCAGCTTTTTTGCTGTTTAGTATTTAAAATCTTCTGTTATCCTTATTGTAGCCTTTTAATCTATTCTTTTAGGTTGATGAAGAATATCAAAACCCTCACACTGTGGACCGAGTCCCCATGGGAAAATTGCCTCATATGTGGGGTCAGTCTCTATACATTTTAGGAACCTTGATGGCAGAGGTAAGGAGAAACTTTAAGGCTCTTTTTCTGCTTTAATCATGATAGTAATCAGATTTGTAAATAGCTCATTAAATCTTTTGCTTTTTGTATTCTGCCTTAATTATATATTTTCCTCCAGGTCATTAGAGTGGAACTGTGACCAGTCCTTGACAAAAATCTTTTCCCCTGGCAACCTTGTCCCTCATGCCCCCAGGGCTTCCTACCTTGGCACTGTACCTACAGATGCTCTGGGAATAGGCCCTACCTAGATCTTTCCCTTTCAGAATGCCCCTGAGTGCCTTGCCTGGTGACTGACAAATGCAGTTGTGCTTATACAGCATGACTGATAATGGATTTAAGAGCTAAATTTTCTAAGCAACATAATGCTTCATTCTTTAATTGAATAAACTGATAAGAAAATTTTAGGTACAATGACAACTTGTTAGGAACATCATAGTTTTTATTTATTTGTTTTTGGAAAGGGGCTCTTTAAATGTTTCATATATTAAATTCTGTTGAGACAACGCTTAATGGGGCACTCGGGAATTTCTGTCAACTTATTTGTGATATTTTGAGCTGTCTCAACAGAATTTAATATATGTAATTATATAGGAAGGGTTATATTTTTCACAGTTTTTCAGATTTACTGACAAATATATTTCTACATTATAGGTTATTATGGTGAGCTATAACCTAGGCTCCTAGAGGATATAGGGTGGGACTAAGATATCCTTTCTGAACCATATTCTATGAACTACTTACATATGACTGTTGATTTTCTGCAGCTATTTTTGTTGTTTTGTTTTCCCCAATTCTATTGAGATATGATTGACATACATCACTATGAGTTTCAGGTCGATGGTTGTTGGCGCCAATTTAATACCAATAGGAATCCCCAATTTGGGGTATGGTGAAGAAGGAAACTTTACTTAGTGCAAACATCTCCTTTGTGATACAGCACAGCTGTGAGAATAGTATGGCTGTGGAACAGCTAAATGGTGTTACAGCTCAATTATGGAGTAGTACAGCTGTGAAACAGCAGGGCTGTGAGGAGGCCCGAGGGTGAGGGAGTCATGGGGCAAGGCCCCTCTCCCTTCAAAAAAACTCAGCTCTGCTCTGCCTGCTTTGCTCCTCTCCACACCAGTCTGCTTTGCTCTACTCTACTCTGCCCTGCTCTGCCTACTCTTCTCTGCTCTGATCCCCTGAGATGTCTTCAGTGTTTTATCTTTAGTGTTTCAGCTCCATCCAGGGAAACATGGTCTCAGTATTACTTGTAATGGAAAAGTGTACTCTCCTTGACAGAGGGGAGTGACTTACATAGAGAGAAGTCCCACTTATGGCCCCTAATTGGTCTGTCCTCATGCAAATGAGGATGCCAAATCCTCAGTTTGACTGGTCCAAAAAGCACTGTCAGAATGGAGCCACTCTGATTGGTCAGTGAAGATGCTGATGAGGATATAGTTGTGCAGCTCTTATTGGATGGGGAAAGCCTCAGTCCTATTGCTAGAAATATAGCTCCAGGAACTCTTTTCTAAGTGCTGCCTCAGATGCAGGAACACAGTGCAGACAGGCAGTTCAATGCAGGCTTTTCCCTGAAGTGTGAGAGGCCACTCTTTATAAACAGCTGCTAGGCTCTTCTTTTAAAGTTGAGCCCAGGTAGCCACCAGGAGCCCTACTTGATAGGTATATTCTTTCTCAGGGTTCACAAGCATAAAGGTTTGATTATCTGTCATTGACATTATCTATCTATCTATATAAAGAGCCAGGGTCTATAATGTCCACAAAGACCAAGGCTCGATGGAACACCAGAAGTCAGTGCTGGGTTGCTGTGGTGACCCAGCACTGACTGCAGCCGGTGCCGGTGCAGCAATCCAGCACTAACTGCCGAAGGTGCTGTGGATGTGGCCTGGAGAGAGGCCTGCAGAGAGAGAAGCAGGGTCTGATCTCCAGCCTCCATGGCAGCTGTTTATCAGCCATTGCCTCTCTCTTTCTCGCCTGCCTTCGCCAGCAGCTGCGCCTCTGTTTCTCTCTGGGCTTCCACACAGGGGCTGCTGATCAGCCCCACCTCTTTGATCAGGCCCAGAGATAGGCCCGGAGACGCTGACTGGCATAGAAACCGACCAATCAGAATCTAATCTGGGTGAAGTGTGAAGGCAGAACCTAAGGTGAGGGTTGAGGAGGGGGTTTAAGGGCAACAGCTGTTTGGTATAAGGTGTAAGAAAGGGTTCAATTTTTTCATGACCGGTTTGGCAGTATAGTGCATATGGCTGGCTATCAGTCCAGTAAAAGCCTAGGTGGCATCACACCCTTACGTGATGCCTTCATGCGACGTTGTCACAAGATGGCCACCACAAGATGGCCTCCACAAGATGGCCTCCACAAGATGTCTGCCACAAGATGACTGCTACACGATGGCCGCTCACACAGCAGTGGCGGGGCCAGGTGGCTGCTCCACGTGTTGAGGACTAGAGTTCCCATGGCTCTGCGTGGTGCAGAGGAGGCCGGTCCCAGCAGAGGAGGTGGGTCATGGCAGGGGAGAGCAGTTGGGGGCAATCGGGCCAGCAGGGGAGAGCAGTTGGGGGCGATCAAGCCAGCAAGGAAGGGCAGTTGGGGGCGATCAGGCTGGCAGGGGAGGGCAGTTGGGGGCAATCAGACAGGCAGGCAGAGGCAGTTAGGGGCAATCAGGCAGGCAGGCAGGTGAGCGGTTAGAAGCCAGCAGTCCCAGATTGCAATCGGGCCTAAATCGGCAGCTGGACATCCCCCAAGGGGTGTCCGATTGGAGAGGGTGCAGGCTGGGCTGAGGGAACCACCACCCCCCCATGTACGAATTTCGGGCCACTAGTCTACACTAATAAAAGAGAAACATGCAAGTTGGTGTCACTCCGCTACCCTTCCCATTGCCTAATCAAGGCAATATGCAAATTAACTGCCAGCCAAGATGGCGGCCGGCAGCCAGGCAGCTTGAAGTGAACATGAGGCTTGCTTGCTTCAG